TAGGATTTACAGAGCACAACAGACGCCAGTTATTTACTTGGATGAAACCTGGTCCGACACTTATGATCTTATGAAACCTCGGAAATGGGTTGCGTTGACTCAACTGATAAGTGTAAAACAAAAGCGCCATCAAAAAGAGGTAAAAGAATAACTATTTCCATGTTGGCTCTAAAGATGGTTGGATTCAAAATGGACTTTCTCTGTCTGTGAAAAATATTAAAGATTCTTCTCTGGATTACCATGAAAACACCACCGCTGATTTATTTGAAAGTTGGTTTAAAAACAAACTAGTTCCAAACATTCCTCCTAATAGCGTCATTGTAATGGACAATGCAAGTTATCACAGTAGACAGTTGACTAAAACCCCTTCCTCATGTGATACCAAAGCAACAATCCAAAACTACATGTATAATAACGACATTTATTTTCACGAAGATTATACCAAAAAGTAATTAATTGAGGTTCTACAAAGCTTGACCCTACAAAAGGAAAACGTCTGTGATAATTATGCAAAAAATCTACGGCATACAGTTTTAACCACTGTATATTTAATCTCATTGAACATGCTTGGCAGCAACTGAAATCTGCCATTCGTCGTAACAATGTTTCCCTTCGTATTAACTCCAATGTCCCCAAACTTATAGAAACCGAAGTTTTTAATATCCCTAAACAGAGTTGGGCAAATTCTGTTAAACATATAGAAAAAGCAGAACAATCGTATATACATATTGCAAATAATATAGAACAAATTATAATTAGAACAGGCGATGATAGCGATAGTGATACTGATATATTATGTGAATAATTTTAAGAAATTTAAGTAGGTAATAAAAATACATACATATATAAATAAATATTGTTTAGTATCTTTCCTAACAAAACCCCAAACAATTAAATTCTAAGCAAAGTAGACCTATTCAGTCATATTTCATTCTTACAGCTTGCCGGGTCTTTCCTTAATTCGTATCAGTTAGTCACTGATATATATATAAAAGCGAAATATCAAAGCCTAGTATCCATAGCTGTAATACATAGCCCACAAAAAAGATGGTATATGTATATTGGAAAAACTCGTTGGTCCAACCAAAAATTTAGTAGTTGTGTGCTGATTCCATAAACATTCCTAGAAATAACGACGCACCAAGAAAATTCTTTAAGATCGAATTTCTAACCAAGTTCTTGCCACATACGGCTTTCACGTGGACCTTACCCAGAATACAACATTCGCCGTCATTTAATTCCCCTGGGCTCCATAACATATGAACATCGAGGAATATTTCAATAACATTAGCCAACATAAGCAGTAAAATAAATCAACCCGGACCTACCGTTTGCAAGTATTTGAAGTAAAACGCAATTGAAGCGAGGAGAGATTTCACTGAATTTACTATCAAGTGCAGTTTCCTTTGAATAAATTTTTGCCGTTTGGGCCCCAATCCCCAAAAAATTCAAGTACACATAACTGCGTGAATGCTGGCAGTACGTGCACATATGCACTTCTATTTATGCCTATACAGGGGTGTGTATACGACGTGTGTTCAAAAAGTAAGGTGACTTTTAAGATTTATCAAGAAATATTTATTTATCAAAATTAATGTTTCAAAGTAATCCCACTTAGGCCAAAGTTTTTTCGCAATCCTCGAAGCACTTCTGGTAAGCACTTTCTGGTATAGCCTTAAGTTCTCCCAGCGATTTTTTCTTTATTGACTCAATCGTTACAAACCTTCTTCCTTCCATGGGTTTCTTGAGTTTTGGGAAAAGGAAAAAGTCCCATATCCGGTGAATATAGTGACTGAAGCATGATTATAGTTTTGTTTTTGGCCAAAAAGTTACACCCAAGCAACGATGAGTGAGCAGGTGCATTATCGTGATGCAAAATCCATGAATTGTTTTCACACGGACGTTTCCTTCGTATTGCTTCTCGCAGACGGTGCTTAACCTTGTGGTAAGAACTCTTAATGTACTACGCTACGAAAATCAAAGAAAACAGAAAGCAAAACCTTGACAATGGATCGAACTTGATCTGTTTTTTTCGGTCTTCGGTCTTCTGATGATTATCACTGACGTCGTTTAACAGATCCTGAGTGATGCTCCTTCGACGGTGCTTTTGTTCAAAATTTTGCTGCTACACGTTTTATGCTCAACACTTCGTAAAAAATTGCACGGCATGAGCCAACAGAGATGCCGACGTCTTCAACCACATCTCCAATAGTGAATAGATGATTTGTCAACACCATTTGTTTCACGGCTGGGGCGTCCAGAGCGAGGTTCGTCATCGCCGTCTTCTCAGCCATCTTAGAACAGCTTGTATCCCTTATAAACATTTTTTTTACTCACACAATTTTTTTTTGAAAATTCTTTGTTCCATTTTTTTTAAAGCAGAAAATCACCGAGAACACAAAGCACGTCTAACGCTTCTGTCTCACAGAAAAAAAGTAAACACGCAAACTGGGTGAAACTGTGAACATATGTTAGGGACAGCGTACCAACATAAAAAATATATCTAGGATTGAATGTACGTAGCTAGCCCAATTACAAAAGTCACCTTACTTTTTGAACACACCTCGTATAATATATGAAACAATTTTAATTAGGTAAAATGTTTTCTTCGTAAATAAATGGAACTGCGGTCCAAAAATTGATGGCTTTGCCGTTTTTCTAAGTTGACTTTTCCAGGTTGATTGCAGCTACAGATGATTTCAGTGGTGACAAAATGAACTTTCATTAATGACTTTTTTTGAAATGTAATTTCAGCGTTAACTTTTTGTAGTAGACTTTTGGTGACCTTATAGAAAACCAACAGAAAAGCAATTTTTAATCTTTAGATTTGCAAGTTATCGAAATCGTTTTATGTGCAGTTTTCTGCTTTGGCTATCGGAGAAGAAAGGATTTAAACCTGAAAATTTATCCTTGTTTTAAACTTTGATGATTTGATTAACAGCAGTTCCAGTTTCAGTCACTGTTTATTTGGTAGAAAACTTTGTTTACGACCGAACAGTTTTAATTAAAATTACTTTTCAATTATTTGTGTTAGCTGGCTGACTTTGTTTTAAACTTTGATGATTTGATTAACAGCAGTTCCAGTTTCAGTCACTGCTTATTTGGTAGAAAACTTTGTTTACGACCGAACAGTTTTAATTAAAATTAGTTTTCAATTATTTGTGTTAGCTGGCTGACTTTGTTTTTCGATGTGTTACTGAAGAAAATTTATTAATTTCTATGTTATTCGATTATTATGACTATGAAATGTCCTTTAGACTTTGGGTCAACCTTTTCAAAAAATACCAAGAAAAACAAAAATTGCAAATTTTAAATTTTTTTGGATACTAGTGTTTACCGATTGTGAATTCTACCATTTTAAGAACGATTACGTCACATTAATTTAGGACAGTCCTCCTCCTACCATCCAAATTTGGAAAACATTGGAATCCTGATATCTTTTTAAACATATCAAAAATCTCCAGAATTTTTGTTGTTACCTTTAATACAGATAGAATATAAAGAATTGTCTGGTGGTAATTTTTTAAAAAATACTGTGTCTATTTTACATCCGTGAGAATAATAATAATTATACAATTTACAAATCCTCTGAAAAAGCACAGCGATAGCGAATAAAAAGTATCTCCATATAAAATCTAAATTTCTATCTAAATATCATTTTTAGTTTTACAAATACGGACATCCGAAAGCAGTTCACAGTTCATCAGTTTCGCGGGTTGCATAGTTTATTTTTAAGCTCATAGTGATTGTTGTTGTGTAGTGATAGAGAAATTATATAAAAACTAGATTAGGTTTAATACTATATTCAATAATGTTGTATAATATGTAACAGAAACACTTGTTCTAAATAAATAGTAGTTATACAGGGTGTTTCAAAATTAATGCGCACAATTTAAAAGGGTGTTTAAAGGATTACTTCGCCCTATCCGTTCGAAGGTTGCAAGCCAATTGGTTATTGTGGCTCGGGAAACTACAATACGAACCATGAGCTTTGGCGTCTTCCTGTCAATCTTTTTTCTTGCACTCTGCATAATGTGTATTTCTCTTTTGTATGGTGTCCAGTAACACGCGAGACTTGTCCGTGCGATTTAGAGCTTCATTCTTGCTGATTTTTTATACCTATAAAAAAATGAGAAACACGGAAAAAGTGTGTTTTTATAATAGTAATACTTTACACTATTTTTCCGCCATATTTGCAGCGCGATATATTTATATAGCAAACTACCCTTTATTTTAAACAAAAAAACACAAACTTAAGTTTTTCGCATTGGTTTTAAAACACCTTGTATAAACATTGAAAAAATAGAAGATAAAAAAGTTTCTAAATAAATATTTCTATAAAAAGTTATTTTTTTCGATGTCCTTGCGTAAGTTTTTCTTCGAACTGAAAAATGAAAAACTATGCAGAAAGTGCGTTTTTATAATATTGATAAGTCCATAAAATTTATTGTTTTATACGGTTGCTCTAACGATTATCGACATTACCATTTCTTTTGAAACATTTTTTGTAAATATAATCGATTTATTTAGTTACTAATAATTTTTTAAAAAAGTCCTTCAGTTTGCTAGTATCAATGGTAATTAAAAAATCCAAATTTCGTACCTTTATCCCTTTCGCAGTGGTAAGGAATGATGGAGCCTAGACAACAAGAAGACGTTATCAGCCAAATTTTATGGGCGGGCTTGCTTTGTCATTCTACTATAAAATTCACCCAACAGACTGTGATGCAAAAAATAATCACCATTGCAAAAATCCCTTCCTTATTCGTGGTCGGCAATGAAAGTAATTGGGTCAATGATATACTCTAATTTTTCTAATTATAAAGATAACGTATTGTGACATATCCAATCGTATTAGGTGGATGCCTTAGCCTTGCAAAATATTTTTCATCCTCCAATGGAAAAAAATGAAACAGTAGGTGTATAATAATAAAACAAATATGATGCAGAAGCCCCTACCCAAAGGTAATCGGTTCAAGGTGAGCTCGTATACCTTTTTATTGATCATCCTTCTACACACGGTACGCGCCAATGTGGTACCTATAATCGTCAGTTAACGTTTTAACGAGCGTTTGATTCCTTTGTGTTTATACCAATGCAATAACCAAAACGTAGGCACAGACAAAAGATTTACCTGCAATCCAAAGGTACGCATTTTGAATCTTAAATTGTGTTAGTTTTGGTTAGCAAAAACAAAATTTGATGGTTTACTTTGAGACGTTTGATGTAAACGGATCAATTTTTAACGGTCATGACAACTATATTGGGATATGCAAAGCATTTTGACCAAATAACCAAATAGCGTCTCACCCTTGACATTTTTTTAAAATGATAATGTGAACTAACAGTCAGCGTAATTATAAGAATTTCATTTTCAGACATTGCGTGCGTTAGTCATAAAGTGGAACAACAGTGTCAGCCAGGAGAAAGTGGCATCAAACAGCTGACCGTTGCACGCAACGCCAGTGAAAATTTTCGCGTGTGTTGTGTCGAATTTCATGTAAATGTGCCAAAATGGGGTTCGGAACGCACATGGATGGCTGCGGCAACATCATGAAGTACAGTTTATTCGTAGTTAACCTTATCACTTTTGTAAGTATTACTGGACATTATTTAGCAACCTGGCGATGTGATTGAACGTTAGAAAAGAACAGAAGATGGTAAAAGTTTCATATAACTACTTCGTTACGTCTAAAATAGTATTTTTTATATATTTTTTTAGTTTTATATAAAACCATGAAGTAAGCGTTGCAAAACACACTAATTGTTTTATATTGACTTTAAATTTGAAATTTCCAGCAAATTTATAAAAAATATTTTTTCATTCCATGTTTTTACCTTCGTAATTTGAATATGCATTTGATCTAATCAACCAGTAAGTAGATTCTCAATTTATATGGAAAACAATATTGTTTTATATTATATCAAATACAAATTATGCAATAGTATTTATAATTCATCGTACGGTTGGTACGGTTTTAAAATGTAAATTAATGTCAAAATTAAATTTATCTGGACAATTTTTGGAATACGCCGTTAGGAGAATTTTAATATTTTTTACCTTCCACCTTCGAACAAAATAAATATATTGTCATTTTTTGCTATTTGATTTCTTTTTTGACTCCGAACTTAGGATCCGCTTGTCTTTGCTGGACAACCTTTAATACATAAAATATTATAAAACTACTTATTGTCCCTCTGTCATAATATTTGAGCTTTATCTCAAAATTTTTGGGCTAAGCCAGTTATTCTGTAAACTTCGTCACTACTTACATACGTTTTCCAAATGTTTTGAATGAAGTTTCTTTACTAATTGCGTCAAAATATTATATAATGCATCAAAGATCAGATGATGTTAGTAAGTCGCAAATTTAAAAGAAGGAAGCAACAAACTCACAGTTTAAACAAGAATAACAGGCTGCAAAACATGTTTACCTAACTAAATTACGAATTTACAGAGTACTGATGTGTTTAAATTAGATTATGCCCAAAATTAAAGGTCGATACCGAAATTTTATAATAAGATCACAAACTGGATTAGTAAATTTGGCCCCGTCCAACGCTGTGCAAGTAGTACCACCCAGGTTTTTGCTTATTGCCTGATGCGATACTCGTAAAAAGGAAATTTGAAGTTTAAAGATACATCTGCACGAAGCATTTTATAAAAAAAAAATAAAGACAATGGCTGTCCAACAATCTTTTGGTATTTCTTCAGAATCATTGTCAATATGATTGATCCACATTTTCTCCTCTTTTGCCAATTCCCCCGTATCACTTCCTTAATAGCTTTATCAAACAGTAGCTTAAAATCTTTCCTTTTGATGTCGTGTTGCGTTTTGCTTAAATCCCGTCACTTATTATATCTATAGGATTTAGATTACACTGGTGTTACACTATGTTGTTCTGCTATATGTCTCATTAATATCGTATTTCATAAAAAGATGTTTCAAAATCATTATTTTTGGTGGTTAGCCAACCGATCTTTTATTAGAGGTGAAGTTGAAATTTTCTCAATACGTCGTGATAGTTCAGGTTATCCACTACTACCACTACCGAATCAGGTGGAGTATATTTCATCATCATTTCATCAAAATAGCCTTCATTGACATTCTAATTCATGAACTGGTGGTAATTTCCCGTAAGACAGTACTGAAAAGTTAGCAAACAACAATAACAATTAGTATTCCATTTTCCTAAAGGCATTTTAATATCCTTGACAGGCCTTTCATGAAAGCTTGACGCACATTGGTTATACTTATTGCCTTATATAACCTTCATTAAAAAAGATTTTCTTCTGCTCTGTTCGGTCTGTTTGTGCCTTTTCCATGGCAATTTGTAAGTTTTCAAAAATGGCAACAGAATATTAGTATCGGATTTACAATATTGATCAAAAAGGAATTTTATTTCACAAAGTTTATTTCTACGCCTACATCCAACATCGAAAATGGACAGATCTGAATAGAATTTCCCATTTTAGTCGTGGGCAAGGCAACCCAAAAAAGACTTGAAACGTTTGAAATTTGGAGTGATTTCTGACCTGAAAAATACGCTTCCGCTTTAACTAACCCACAGAGCCAGCGAAATTGATTAAGCTTCCGCAGAACCTTTCAGATAGAGAATGCAAGTTTTGAGGTAAAAATATCATCTTCTTCTTCAAGTAGCTATTCGTTCCGAATATTGACGATCATTTTAGCTGCTCTGAATAAATCCCTGTTTCTCTCTTGCCATACCCCTTTCCCTGGATATGGTATTTGTTTTCGTTTGGCATTATATGGCCCATATATTAGTTTTCTTTTTTTTACAGTGTTTAGCACTTTTTTTTTCTGTCCATCCACGAATTCCTCAGATTTGTCCTGTATAGCCACATTTCAAATGCTTAAATTTTTTTGGTTTGCCTCTGTCAATGTCAATAGCTCTACTTCTACTTCGTAGAAGTAGAGCTATTGACATTAACAGAAGAAGAAGAAAAAAAGTTTGTCTTGGTTTTTCTATTCTGCATTTAATCTCTTGGTCCCTTTGCTCGTTAATTATCGTTTCCAAATAGGGAGGATTTGGCTATTTACATTGCACTTTGTATTGGACTACTGATAAACAGTTGACAGTTTCGTTTTACGAATAAATATTTTCTAACAAGTGCCGAAAGTGATAACATAACATATAGGGCCAAAATTACACTTTCCGCAAGAGTTATCAAACACTATTTTTCTACCAGCCTACGGAAAACAAAAAATGCCCATATAGCTATTAGATAATATAGTAGCTCTACTGGAGTGAAAATTGATGCGCCGCAGGAGACATTAATATTTTTGTAGAGAAGGTAAAGATTATTCGCGTCTTTCTTCATTTCACCCACTAACCTGTACTTAAGCTGTTTTTCCAGAATATTTAACAAGATGTAAGCATATTTTGACAAAATACTGCAGCAAAAATGCTGCATCTAAACTAATTGACGATCTATTAGTGGCCATGTTGGTTGCCAAATACCGCAAGGTCATTGGTTAAAAAACGAGATTTTAAATCTCGCGCAATGCGCGTGCGTTCAATTTATCTTGAAAACATTTTAATTGGCTGCAACTTTTTTGTTTTTAGAGATATCAAGGTAACCAAAAGAAAATGTAGTGTTACTAGTAAAGTTTTTTTCTAACAGACGTATAAAAAAAACTCTATTGTAAATAATTATTGTTGTTGCAGTCAGTCAGGGCACTCTTTGAAATTATATAAAAATGTCCTATTACATACATAATATACAGGGTGATAGTGTTTTGTGCGTTTTGGAAAAAAAAAAACAATTAAAACGTTATTAAGATAAATTGAATGCAGTATAGGCAGGGCCTAGATTTTTTGAAACGGCAGTTGGGGTAGAAATTAAATTTCTGCTCTATCTCTTGATTTTCAGAATTGGATAAGGCTTCATAAGAGGAATTTCTAACAATTTGATCATATTGCCGAAAATGTTATTTTTATCCAGACGATATTGCGCGATCCCGGCATATTAATATAAACGGATTGCTCTATTTCGATATCAAATATATGCAAAATATTGCAGGATTATTCCAGTGGGACTTTAATATGTCCCACTAAAATGATTTTATTGTATTTTATTTAACAAAATATAACAAAAATCAACTATTAAAAAATTCAATCGTACAACTAATTAATTTGTAGGTTGGCGGCATTATCGCAGTCTCTTTAGGAATATGGATTTTAGTGGACAGATCTTTTGCCAACGAACTGGTGGGAACTAACCTTTACGCTGGATCCGCATACATACTGGTAGTTACTGGATTATTGGTAGTATTAATCTCCTGTTTAGGATGTTTGGGATCAGTAAAAGAAGTCAGATGTATGCTAGTCATAGTAAGTACCTGTTTTTGAATATCAGCGTTAGTATCAAACTGCTAAAATAAACATGCGCTATCGCTAATTCCAAGCATACGGGGTAATTTTTTTTAATTGCTTTTTTACAAAATGTTAAAAACTTTTGGTTTGAATTTTGCAACGTCATTTATAATAATAAAAGGTTAAAATTGCTTCAACAAGATGTGAAACTTAGTTTTACCGAAGTAATACCAAAGAAAATGTTGAAAGCGACCGTTATCAGCTTAGTTATACGCATGACGTAAGCATTTTTGCACAACCGGTTTTAAAAAATGTTGAACACCTTCTTGGAAACCAAGCATTTCTAGATCTATGCTTATATGAACTTTTTTTTCTATTTTTCAAGTCACGAAACTCCCACAATTGGGGTGTATTTTTTGAAACATTCTGTGTAGAAGCCGTTATAGGAACTGAGACACATAAAACCCCAATCCATTCGTAACTTCAATAAAACAATAACTCTAACCTTTCAAAATTTATTTTTGCGTAGGTCTAAAGTAAATGAAATAGATGAAACAAATTTTATTTTGAAATTAAAATAACTCAAAACAAATCTGTTTATGTTAAAACATCAAACAGTACTTTGATTCTTTCAGTATTTTATTTCCTTATTCCTTATTTTCGTTACCATGTTAATTGGAGGAATCTTGGGATACGTATTTAGAGGTAAAGTGGAGAAAACAATAAGGTTAGGGATGGACAGGTCCTTAAATGACTACGGGAGTTACAAACCAGTTACAGATGCTTGGGATGAGACGCAAATTCGATTAAAATGTTGTGGAGTTTATGGATACAAAGTAAGAATACGAACACGTTTTTACTTACACGTTAATTATTAAACTCGTTCTAGGATTGGAAAAACCGAATACCGGATTCCTGCTGCAAAACGACCTCTGACGGACGACGCTTGAACTGTCAAGATGTGGACGATAAAAACCATCACGTTATAAATACGGAAGGCTGTTTGAATGTCACTACGGAGTTTGTGAAAAAGCATGCGGTAATTATTGGTACCTCAGGAATTGTTGTATCGTGTTTTTTGGTAAGTTCTGCTAACGTAAAAAATTTATTTTCAAAAGCTCCGATTTATTATTTTATTGTTTTAAATGACAGGAAGCAAGGGAGCTAGTTATTCTACAGAGAGTGCGTTTTTACCTAAATATTAATTTTTATTTTATGGAAGTATGTGTTACAAACTTATGAACATAAGAGTTTTAAAATGTCCGTATTTAATTTAATTATTGAATATAACTATTGAATAATTTCACACAACTGGGTGTCAAAGTTTTATTTTTATTTATTCAACATAATTTCCCAAATATATTTTAAATAAATATATTTCTGAACGATAATTGTTACCATCTTTTTTTGACGAGAAGTTTGGATTTATACTTGTCGCTCTTCCTTGTAGGGGGCGTTATCTACATGGCTTTTAAAAGTTTAAAAGTTGTTTGTGTTGCCATGTAAAAAATTTTGTTATATATTAGTAGTAGTATATAGAATAAACAATATCACTGCTCAGCTTGAGATATCACCCTCTGTGAAATATTAAAAACGTATTACATAACATCCGGTATATTCATCTCGCATTGGCATGTCCTTAAACGAAATAATAACCAGAAGCGAGTTGTGTGCCTTATAAAAAAATAATATTGCTCTCTTATTTATTCATTCTCCAAGAGTTAGATTGGACTGAACATCATTTCTTATTCCTAGTTGGTTTAGACTTTTTTGAGCTATGGCATAGTTATTGTCAACACATTGTTTTCGAATAATAATTTTTTTTTCCTTTTCAGATCCTAGGAATGATTTTTTCCTGTGCTCTGTTTAAGCTTATAGAGTAAGGGAGGAGTCGAGAATAGTATTGTATTGTACATTAAACATAATAATTTACTAAGCACCAATTTTGTTATATGCTGTATAAATGTAAAATTCTAAAAATCGATATTGGAATAAGAAGGGGGAAACGTGTTTTGAGTTAGAAGCGATTTCATTTTTTTCAAATTATTTATTGGTGGGTAAAAAGAAAGAAACGGACCTGTGTGAATGTTTGTTGAATGTTTCTAATCTAAATAATTTGTACCTGCATAAAACTGAAAAATGTAATAATTTAATTTATTTATTAAAAATATTACAACAATAATTACAATATTATTATTGCCAAGTAAAAACCAAAAATATAACAAATAATAAAATATATAATATAAATATTTCACAAAACAGGAAGAACATATATAGAATATTAGAATGAGAGAAAAGGTCCAACCAAGTTCTTTTTTCTCATTCTGCGCCGATAATGTGGGCAGATTTAACCTCGATCTCCAGTTAATCTTCTGTATCATATACAATATTTTGCAAATACCTAAACTGATTTTCTACTGGTAAACATGTATATCACATAAAAAAATTAATTGAATAAGTCGAATCCATGGAAATTTTATTTACAATAAAAAGCATACCACTCTTGGATAGTTTAAATAAAAGTAAAAGTGGACATCGGTAGGTAACTACAACTTTGCAAGGATTTTTCAGAACTGCTTATGGACAACATTTAAGGACAGCAACAAAATTACCAAAAGATTATGCTTCAAAATGTAGCTGCAAGCATTGACTGATATCTTGAAGCAATCAAAACAAATTCATTGCTAGTTTATAACAAAAATATCGTAAGCATATTAACATAACACTAGTTGTGTTTTGCATTAGAATTTGTCGATCCTTATCCCATACTATTATGATGCGGCAAAAATTGTTTAGGATGTTTCGAAGATATGATTCGTGTAGTAGGGGAAAATGGTCCCGATATAACATTTATGAATATTGCTATTACATTTGTATAATTTTTACACCTAGTAATTGATTTGCTCTCATAAGACTTGCTGGTTACATTTCACAGGAAAACTAGACATGGGCCAATATTACGTATATTTTGTATAATTCAAGTTGACGCCTCTACTGATCTTCGATCTAAAATTTTATCACAGAATATGCTTACTTATACTTTCAAATAAAATTTGTGTGTAAATTTAGCAGTCTTGTGTATACCGGAATGATAACTGCCGTAATTATTTTTGCGCCAATTTTCATCAACTCAAATTATACTCTTGCAGACAATAATTAGAAAATGCCATACGACGAATATCACACTAAATTTCAGCACAATTAGACCACCTAACATTAATATCTTTATAGTGAACGTTACATTCTTTTTTAGGGCTTAATAAGTAATATTGGTGTTATATTTGCCATAGTTAAGAACTTTAACAACATAATAAACTAATCCCCACTCGGATCTAAACAGGCACTAAATCGGATTTAAACTTGAGGATTGTGGTAAAATGTTCATAAAATATATTATTTAAAACAACAAAACTCGGATTTTAGTTTAATCACAGTGGCTTCTCAAAGTTTGTTCTCGCAATAGCCAATTATTTTCTTCTAATGTAATTATTTGGCACAAATATCAAAAAGCAACTGTGAATTTCAAGGTACATGGTACACATTAAATAGTATAATAGTGAAAAAAAAAACTATGACACTAGTAAATTATTTCCATTTTTTAAATTTTTTTTCACTATTTCATCAAAAATACAGGCATCTCATTCTGCTAAATATACTGATATGCATTAAATTGTTGAAATGTATACTACTACATTGTTTTTGGTAATATACAAAATTGGAGATCACAAGAAACAATAAGACAAACCCTGCTAAACGTGGAATTTACCTATTTCTCTTCTCTATTGAGGAAAGAAGTTTAAGTGAGGGGCGGTATCATACATGATATATATCAGCATTCCATAACATTAACATAAAACATAGTTTGATATTAACTATATGTTAAATTTGCATCATTGGCACATATGATACATTTTTCAAAAGGCCAAGACAAAAATCCTTGGCAAATAAAGTTTTATTTTCCAACTATAACTCAGTTAATGATAACGCATATCATTTGTGGTGTAATAAAATTCATGACACTTCAAATCTATATAAGTATGTAATACTAAACACTACACAGTAAGATACCCAATTTATCGATTTTAGTTAAAATTTCATTTTTTTTTACTAATCCAAGTTGTGTTGTTTTGTTAATTTAAGCGGATATGGCTGAACGCAGAGCAGATAAGTTAAATGTACTTAGTGTTTTTTTTTTCTATTTTCTTAGAATACCCTATTTAGGCGTTTTAAATATGCAGTCAACATAAACTTGACCTGTCTACCATATTGTGTGCCATTTACTTAACCGATTCTTTATATTTTGGGGATATTTTTCTATTACTTTTCTTCAGATAAATTCACACTTAAGTCATTTACATTTTCCATTATTCTTAATATAAGAAAATGAAACGAACGCATCTGATAAAAGTAATTCAATACATAAATAAACTTATGTGGAACTTTTTCTTTCCGTACAAGTTTGTTTGACCATGGCTTCATCTAAACTTTGCCTATGCACTGTTAGCCTACTTCCAGATGGAGTCACGTCCGGGTGCGAGCTGCTAAGATGCAGCGCTTTGCATAACCCGTGCCTTAAGGAATTGGACAATTTCGACAGAGAACCGCCTTGTCAAGGAAGTATCTCTACATAGTTTTCTGGAATTAGGCCCGTTTTTCCGTTTAGGGTGCCCTCTAACCAGCCTGGTTCTTGTGATGATTTTACTAGAGAAAAACGAGTAATAATTTCTGTATAATTAGATTGCGTTTATATCCATTACATAAAAACTTAATGACCGCAAGTAAAACAAAAAACTTACCGTTAGTTATAATCTGATTTGGTTCAAACGAGAGTTCTCCATCATGTTCTCCCAAACAGGCGTACAACGTCCTGACACGCCTGTTAGGAAAGACATTTGCTTAAAGGTTTGATTGGTATTAGATATGAAAGTAAAAGACAAAAAACATTAACAAAGTTCGAAGAACAGAGAATATGCAGAATATTCAAGTGAGATACCATAATGGGTTTCGGTCAAAGTGGATGACGTCATTGTAGAAATGTATTTCAATACAAACGTTTTTTTTTTTATTAAAAATTATTAAGTTAAGGATACTTTATAAAACCATAACAATTTGTATTTGGGACTGACGACGATCATGCAACATGGTTTACTTTTATCAGAAGCCAGAAATCACAAAAAATTAAATCAGCAAATAGGCACGTTATCTATCATTTTAAGGCAACAATGCATATACATAATCTGTTTTATTTGCAAAATAATTTCCAAATCAAAACACATTAAAATGTAATACAGGAATTTAAAAAATCTTAAAAATTATGATTGTGTTCTGCCTTTCCTGCTATCGGTGGCGTTTTGTAAATTTAAATATAATAAAAACCATGCACAATTACATAAATGTAATGTAAGAAATATTTCAGAATATGACACGACATGTAGAGTAAAAAGAACACAAAAAGCATCAGAGACAACACAGAAAAGCTTATGAATCTTACACTTCTTTCTGTATTTTTCTGGTTATTGCGCCATTTTGGCTTACATACCGAACCCTAGGCATAGTTGGACTGAACCGTCCTGTTGTAAGAAACCCCGATTGTTTTGTAAGCTGCGTCCTGTGTTAGTTGGTTAGTTATCAGAGACGGCATGCAAAAAGGGAAATAAAGATTACACGAGAGAAATAACTTCCTTAAAAAAGAGCTGTAGAAAAAAACTTACACGTTTCCGGGCGATTTGTAACCTTTCGGATAGGCAACGTATAAACTTGAGCGTTCACTTTTTTTAGGTATTGAGCTGTTCAACACGTTCCCATCGCGCGAGGTCGAAGACAACGAATCGTTTGAACTGCTTGTACTGTTTGATTCTGAAAATTCCAATTCGTATACATTAATTTAAAGGTAAATATCTCGAATCTGGACTAACCCACTAATTGATTGTAAGACCTAAAGTTAGTGGGGCTGTAGCTTTGCAATGGTTGAGGTATACTAGATTCAGACTGGGAACTAGCCGCAGGCAGAAAATGTTTAAACTTCTGTCTGCTGGAAGGTCGGTGCTCACTTCTGGACATGCCATAAATTGTATTCTCTATGAGTGCATCTTGGGCACTATAATTTTGTGGCAATGACGTTTCAATATAAGACGAAACGGTCTGAAATCTTGTGACAATTAGCTGCTAAACTATAACGACAAATCATTAAACATACACATGTATATGGAGGCGATTGGCTATATGCTGATGGTCTATAGCTTGGTGACACTCTAGCTGCGTGATTATTCGGAAACGACCTATTATTGCTGCCATATGACGATTCAGTTTCTAAACTATTAAATGTAGTTAAATGATTGTTTGGCGGAAGGTGATTATATTTTGAAGGGCCGTTAGCGATATGATTTGGCATAGACATTTTGGGAGAGTTGTCCGGTTCAGTACTAAATATTTTGTCAAAATTGTCTATTAGGATTTCCACTACGATATTGTAGAATTTTAGGTCCATTATGGAGGCCACAGTTTCTTCTTCCGGACGGAGCAAAGTGGGTCCGAAACACACTCCAAGGTTACTTACGTTCATCAGGTTTTTGTCACATTTACTAACAACACTGAAATAAATTTAGGCGTCACTCTCCATAAATATGGAGATATTGTACCTACTTTGTTAAATGCTTCACCAAAATCTTTAAGACATCAAAGTTTGTTTTCGGAACTTTGTAAATCAATTTGTGAACTTCGTGTATCCTCTGCTGTCTCGATTCCTTTTCTAGAACCAAATACGCAACTAATAAAAGATCGCTAAAAATTCAGAGAAACATACTGACGGCCGCAATAAAATCGTTGTGATATCTGTACGTCATCAATGGCTCCGGTAGATTTCTTAAATACGTTTTTAAAGCACTAGTTATGGTTTTCGTTTCCCATTCCTGGGGATCGTCGAGAGCCAGCTTCTCGCTTTTTCTCCTATCCAATCCCATGCTCAAAAGTTTGTTCACTTTCGAAGTCACTCCCACAACCCTAATATGCATTATCACTTAATTAAAAGACTTTTCAGGAAATATACATTAGTTTTAACCTGTATATTCCTTGTTCTTCCAACCCACGATTCTCCAACACTTCTATACACCTTTTTACAAACTGAATTCCTACATCATCTAATACAAAGTGTTCCTCCGTGTTTACTGGTATTTTGTTATTTGGAGTAGTATATGTCTGAAAATAGGGGTTGACAATCAGATAAAGGAAAAAATAAACAAATCAAAAACTACCGGTTCTTTCCCATCCATTATGTCCATCCAAGCAGTGCGGTCTTGTTCGGATAGGGCCTGGAGTGTGTAAACCACCCCCGGTTTACTATCCGCTTGAATGTCAAAACAAAATCGTTTCTCAATGGAATCAGACTTTCGTCTTACGCAAGAAGTGATCATCATCCTTTCCGGTTGTGCCAACTACAAGTCAAACTATGAAATAGCAGGGGACGCAAGGCGCGAAATGTGCAATTACCGATTTTGTGGTGAGTTGGTTATACGGCAGCATAGTGAATTCTTTGCTTTCTTTATCATAATGGCAAAAATGTTTGGTCCAAGTCGTACCGAAAGCCTCTAAACAACAATAAATTTAAATAAACCAAAAATTAAAGCACTAAAGGTTAGGTAATCAAAAGTAATACTTGGTTACTTTTACTTTTACAATGCTACTGTTTTCACTGTCGGAAATTCTCGCCATTGTTTAAGTGATTTTAATGAAATTTCCATCCATATACGATTGTTAGGACTCGTATTAAAGTAAATCATTATTAATAAATGTTTCAAGTTGGCATTGAAAAGGCGAGGAGAACTTTGAAAAATAATTTCAACAGAGAGTTTCAATTTTATTGGAGCATTCAAGATATACTCTTTGTAGTGCTTAAGGTTTAACTCTTTCTTAAGTAATTACTAATTAATTAATTAATTAGAAAAAATTGGAAAGAAATAAATTCATGCCTAATGTTGTCTTAAGCATAAAAAAATGGTAACTATGAATATATATTTTTTATTGCCACCGAAGACAAGATTAGGTCGGAAAATTTGAAGTATCTAAACGTAACAGGTTACACACACAAATGGTACATACTTTTTTCTAACAGGTAGAGATAACCTTCTTTGCGTCCCTTTACATTTCTCAGAGGCTCTTCTTGCTTTTGAACTTCGGACATTCGCTTTTTGAGTTTCTCACTGAAATCGTCGAAGTTGTTTCTAGTTTTTTGTATCTTTTCTTGTAAATCTCTCATGAATGGGTCGAAATCTTTCTTTAGCTCGTGCCCCTAAAAAATAACAATGCACCGAGTTCCGGAGTTAGCCAGCGTAAATGGGCTATTTTACCTGATGGTAGAAAGTAAACCACGCGTAAACAAACGTCAGCAACGTTTCAACAAATTCAAATTTTTTTCTTTCGTGGACTTCTTGAATTAAATACACATAATCCATACTAGCGGCGTAAAAATGGCGCTCCGCCATATCGACAGAGGCGTCGGCCTGTAACAAAAATAAACAATAGAAGAAATTGAGGAGTAGACGTAACAAGGGGCTAGGTGCCATTTTTTTGAAAATTAGATTTTTATATAGAAATATTCTACGTGCCATGCACTATGACCCATCAAGCGGGCAGTGTGAGAATTATAATTTCCGGAACAAATTACGCAAATAGGTGGCGCTTTCTGTAAGTGATCTGCTATTTTCATAACAAAGGGGTCAAATGCCGTAAGACGTGTTGTGCGTTTATATTGTTTTTTAATCGTTTTCTGTAACGACGCTGTCAAATATTGTAAAGAGCTATTCAAAATGAATTTTGAACGTCGAAAACAAGGAATGGAAGATTAAGTGATGAGCAAAGACAACGCAAAATGCAGGAGGATCCTATAAAAACTGAAATGGGAACGCTGTAGCTGAAAAAAGAAAAAAAAGAAACCTAACCTACAAGTAAGTCATTATTTTAATTTCTAATACGAAAGCGTCTACGTGACTCTAGGACGGTCCGAATTTTTATCTTATGCGCTGTAGATTTGAATTCACAGGCTTAGCGCAGCTGTTAGTATAGTGGATTGGATACTCACCAAACATTTTTTTAAATATTGTTAACAACCCTACGGCGATCTCGTAGACAGATCGTTTTACTGTGTATAAATTTAACTGCAAGTCGTTAAACTACTAACAGAGATTGACACTTTGAAAAATAATATGAGCGCAGAACTGAAGTCCGTGGAACGTACGTCATACATTTAACTGACGTAAAAAGAAGAAGGCATGGTTTATACGAAGAAACTCGTGGTAGTCTCCGTCAATGTAGCACCCACTATAGCCTTTCAGATGGAGAGTGTTGTAGTTGTATGTAAATCTACTTTTATCAATACTTTTGATTTGACAAAAAAGCATTTGGAAACGAAAGAAAAGACGAGGCAAAATCGTTTATAAAGACATGAGAACTCGTACAGCTCCTGGAAAATTTACGCAGGGTAATAGGCAACTTGTTGGAGAGCCTATAAATACTATACCCCGAGAAGAATTTCATTCGCGCTTAAAAAGTGCAAAAGAATATTTAAATGCGAATCGCTTTCATAAAGTGTTTTGGCAGAAATATCCACTCAGTTTAGTTACCTACAAGTTTTACAAAAAAGTGTTGAAAGAAGACTTTCCAAATGTTTCATTTAAAGGACCTCGAAGAGACACCTGTCGTAAATATGACTCATTAAATTGCAAAATAAAAGCGCAGGGCGAAAAAAATCGGGCAGCAAAGTTGGAGCTGGTGGTGCACCATAGAAAGGCAGAATCAGCGTGCATGGTCATGAAAAGAGATATTGCATCGCCGCAAGTGCCAGGAAGCACCACGAGTGTGTTCTCACTCTGACATGTTCTACATGAGTCAACTTTCGTCATGTATTTATACATATACATGTGCTGTTGGCATGAAGGAGCTGCACGACGTGGCGGTAACGAAATTGGGTCTTGTTTATCACACGTCCTCAATATGGGCATTCCAGAAAAAAGGAATGTTGTTGTTTGGAGCGATAACTGTATTGCTCAAAATAAAAACAAAATGATTATTTACGGGTTTTTAGTGAGTTGTGGACTCTTTGACACTATTGTCAGTGGTCATAGCTTCGCGTTAATCGAGAAAGCGCAAGTGCGTTCCGATGGTACCTGAGGACTTGCACAATATAATACTGTCAAGTAGACACAAAGGCCGATTTGAGATAGACATATAACAAACAAATTTTTTTTTGATCGGCAGCTGACAAGATACTAAATCTCAAAGAAGTGAATATTAGCAATATTTGTTGACTGCAGTTAGGCTGCTACCAGACGTGAATAATTTTATTCTAATTTGACCAAATAATGTGTTGGCGCGTTTCTCATTTTTCTTAAATATTTTAAAAAAAAGTTTAATAATGTTTTTTCCATGTTTTTTGTGTCGCAGCTTATTTACCCATAAGGCAAATAATATGTTAGTTTATTTTTTGAAAATAAAATGTTTTTTACTTTGGTAAGAAAATATTTTTTTTTAATAATTTTGGCACCCTTTGTTACTTCTACTCTTCAATTGTTGACATTATGTTTTGCAATTGCCGCGGGAAAAGATTTTCCTTATCGCCTTATGAAGAGAAATTAACTCTGAAGGGTATCTTAACCTATGAATTTTAAGTACTGCAAATATAATTGAATAATTCAATTTTAACATTTGTTAAAGGGTTTTCACTTTAATTTTTGTTTTGTAATATATGGTAATCTGATTATGCTATTGCGAATATTCTGCACCCTACACCGCAACGCTGCAAAAATATACGGTTTGGGCAACTTCTTCCAAAAAACAGAACAACTATATTTTTAAATATTAAAGTCAAAAATTTTCAAGACCAGAGTTGATGCACGTATATTGTTATTAATAGCAAATGACCAATATACAAGATGTTAACTTGATGCTTCAATTTCAAGAGGTTTGTATATTGCAAACATCTTTTGAAAATTTCTAATTTTAAAAATGTCATTTGACGCGCATGAGATACTGACGTTATGTATATAATACGACGTTTATTAACGTAATAAATCGCAGAAGCTTATACTTAATCTCAAACATTGTGAAAAAACATTTTTTTATATAGATATATTTTCGGTTGTCCCTAATTTATATCGGACGTTTTTTGACACTCCTAACTCGAAGCGCTGAGTATGGGCGCATAACTGCAATCAAAAGTCTATTCGGAAGCATGGGAAAGTATTTAAATGATATAGGAGTTTTAGTCAAATACTCATAAATTGAAAAAATTTGATAAAGAAAATACCGAATTTATTAACTATTAGATTATTTAAATAAAATGTGCAATTTTTTTTAAATGGAAAACTAATTTTATCTAGGATTTGTCATTAGTTTTCTCTTGGGCAGTGGTCAAATCAAATGAAAATACCCAACGAATTTTATTTAGGAAGAAAAAAATGCCATTCATTCTTAAAGCAGACCACAAATTAATTTATTGGTGGATGCAAGCTTTTTACTAGTACTAAGTAGGAAATGTTTCGTTTCGTTTTCGTCCAAATGTTAAGCTTTATTGCAAACACATTATTTTATAAATTTACACGTATTTTGGCGTCATCAGACATACAAACTTGAACGCACATAACTAATAGTGTAAAAGGTGGACTTGTGAAGTTAAATTTAAATTTTATGAACCAGATCTTTTCTAATGTGGACGATTTGTTACATTTTCCTTTTTTTTGTCAATGAATATACTTAATAATTTCGGATTAAGTTACTTAAACCACTCCAAACTAAGGCCCACGGGCCAAATCACAGTGCTGGTGGCATCAATCCAACCCGCGGCAACAAATAGCTTATTATTAAGTTGAGCTTAATGGCAAGCATAATACGCAGAAAATTGAACTTTATTCTAACAACTAGCAAATGATTAAAAACGGTGTTGACCCTTGGAACATACGGTATGACCATAAGGCGGGAAAGTTTGGAGACCCCTGAATTAAACGAACGAATAAATCATGAGAATACATTACTTTACTAAGTAACTAACTTTAAGCAAGCCAAAGTACTTATATAAATATATATAAATCAGAATTCAGCAAAATCAAGCTTAAATACGGGGTGGTCCGCTTACTAAACGTAAAGATAAAAGTTGTTTGGGTTCACTTACATTTTAAAAATATTATATTGTTATATCTAAATGGTGTAACAACTTTTTCCGACATTGTGAATTTGCAAACAGCGACCTTGGCAGGTCTACATATCGATTTCACCAACTGAAAGCGTTTGTTATACTTTTAGGGTTGAATTCTTTAGAGATGGGGATTATGCGTGTTGATATCATTGTCATTTTTGTCAGATGGAAACAATATTTTTTGCGGTAATTAGATTATTAACACAAAAGTTTACCTCGTACTCTAAAATACCGAATAATGCACTGATCAAATTGTAATTTTAAGATGTTGGCTTTCTTTATCCAAGGTATTTTGACCCTTGTCAATTCTGGCAATGCTGTTTTGCCCAAATGTCCCCAAAAACTATGTCTAAAAATGGAACAAATTTTATGAAAAACATTTAGACATTTGCTGAGAGACATTCAGATGAGCAAAAAGCTACAAGAAGCACTGTTTTAAGTAATGAATAGAAAATTTTAAAAATTATTATGTATTACAAGAAATACATATTTTTATAAAAAATCTCATTTTCACGTTGCAATATTAGTATTTTCAGTATTATTTAGTTTTTTTTTTCACAATGTTTCGTTGTCACAGCATTTTTATAATGAAAAAATGTAGATACGAAAACTTTAGACATTATTATGTCTAATATTTTATTATGTATAAAATAGTAAGTTCCGATGAATCAAAAAATGAATTAATATACAGGTTGATCCGTTTAAAATAAGAAAGGTATTACGTGTCCATGAAAATACAATTACAGGAGCAATTATTAAGTGCCCAAGTAAACATTTTCACAACCACATTAATTTCAAATTAAAGGCGACAAACGACTGACCTACATTTAAAAAGTAAAAAATATCCATAAATAACCGTCAATTTCCATAAAGCATTTAAATATACCGATTTCCGAAAAATTAAATGCTTTAGCACGCTAAACGCCAAACTTCGCTAGTTGCCAAAGTGACACGTCTCCGATAGAACCAAAACAAAAACTCACCCTCCGTAACAACGGCGCCAAATCATATCGCACGGAATACGCAATGGGAAATTCTTAAAATTCACACAAAAACGGCATTTATTATTGACGCCAGCTCCCTTAAGAGACTTCCTGATGAATCAGTAATAATCCTTTATGAATGGAAATGGAAAAACGACGAATTGGCGATAGGGTATACGCTATTAAACGCGCGTAGGCGGTAGTGTAGAGAAAAGGGCACATTGCGCAACCGAACCGAACCGAACCCGACGTTGCCAAGTTAATTCTTAAACCAAATAGTCCGCTACGCAATAAAATTATATATTATACAGATTACCGAACTCTAGCTCAT